GCTACCAAAAGAGAAGAATGTCCACACCTTTATCTCAGCGGTTCTGCCAGGCGTCTGTGGCCGCTCCGATCTTTCCCCCACGTGGTCTCACCCAAGATGGCGGCTCCTGGTGCAGCCGAGCGTCCCGGAGTAGAAAGCAATAGATTTCTTGCTTCTGCCACAAATTCCCCCAGCTGTGAGCCTTCCAACCTTCTAAGTATTCCTTTATATGTGGGTCAGAGTTCTGGGACCATTCCCTGAGCCTGCTCGGTCGGGTATTCTGTGTTGTTGTTGGCAGAGCTCTCTGCTATACGTCCACCCGATCCTCCATCTTGTTGTTCCATAAAAGCATTTCTTAAAAGGTTTCCTATTATTTTGGAAAATGCACACATTGTCTTAGAGTTCTGGAGGTCAGAGGATGGCTGGACTCTCACTGGGCATCAAGGGATGGACAGGGCTGCGCTCATTCGGAAAGCTTTGGGGAGAATCCGTGTCCTTGGTTTCTCCAGCTTCGAGAAGCCCTTACACGCCTTGACCCATGGCTCCTTTCCTGCTTCTTCAACAGGATTTCACGTCGCTTGAAGCTTCTCGTCTGCACCCTCATCCACTCTGTAGAATCATGTGGCTCTCGGCTTCCGTGAAGACTGCAGCCCTCAAAGTCCTGGGAACAGTTCGACTCAGTCCAACAGGATCACTGAGAGTTAGACCTGAATGACCACAACGGGTCTGGTTTGTGTGTGTAGGCGTCACTACATTGGGTCTACTCAAGGAATTCAAGATAATCTCCCTAAAGTCAGCTGATTAACAACTTTACGTATAGCTGCAACCTGAATTCCCCTGGAGCATATAAGGAGCAAATTCACAGATTTCAGAGATCAGGACGGAAACATCCTGGGAAACAGGGGACATTATCCTGCTCTGGTAGCGTAGTGGTTATGAGTCAAGCTGCCAACCTCAAGGTCAGCAGTTTGAAACTGTCAGTGGTTCCGCAGGAGAAAGATGAGGCGTTCTGCTCCCATAAAGATTTACAGCCTCAGAAACCCTGTGCAGGGTCACTATGAGTTGGAACGGACTCCACGGTACTTAACAACAACAACCATATTGTTATGGTGTTGGAGGAGAATATTGAAAGTGCCATGGGCTGCCAAAAGAACAAACAGAATCTGTGTTGGAAGAAGTGCAGCCAGAGTGCTCCTTGGAGGCCAGGATGGCCAGACTTCGTCTCTCATACTTTGGACATGTTGTCAGGAGGGACCAGTC